GCATGCGCAGGAGCAGCTCGTTGGATGCAACCATTTTTCAGTCGGCGCATGCTGGTGTGGAACTTCCTGTGAAAACTAATTCGTTGACATTCCTCCGAATTTTGCTCTGGTGTGATGGAATGGGTGGATTTAATTAAAAAAGAACACATTCCTTGAACTATTTCTGCCTATCTCGAACCCTTATCACGGTCGGTGTCATCCGCAATTTCGATTAAAATCTGGTATCCGTGAGTTTACAGCGATTGTTGATATGGCGCATGTGTATTTTGTATTGCCATAAATAGGTGTTTACTGAAGGATGTGGTTCACGGAGCAGCTATATTGTCGTTATCTAGGATAGATGAAAGAATTATCATTTGTCAAATAGCGGAGTGGTACTTTTTATAAAAATGAACTTTGATATCTCAGGAGTCGTACGATTGTTCACTACCTTTCCAAATTACTTTACTGAACTGCATCAAAGTGTTTCCCTTTTAAAATCTCCTAATAAACTAGAGTAGCGGGTGAGCAAAGTCCGAGTTGTTTTAATCGGCTCGTGAGTGTTAACAATAGGCATCCTGGTCTGAATAGCTATATTAAAATCGGGAGAGCCTCTCCCCATGTACAAGCATTGACTGCGTGCACGGTAGAGCATGTTCACTGTAGCGCATGCAATGCTGGTGACAAAATGAGACAGACGTGTCGCGAGTAAAACGCATTTCGCGATAGACGCGATTAGTCGTCGATCTGAATTGAGGCGGTGCGGCTCTCTGTGTGTGTTCTCCTCTGTCACACGTGTCAGACGATCAACCCCCCCCCCGTAGACACGTGCTAATCCGTTTATGACGTGTATCGCTTCGAGTCATGGCTGCTGAATATGTGCGCACGTCTATGACGACCGGATTTGCGCACTTAATTGCGCAGACGGCAATCTGCGCGAAATCGAACGATATCCTAGAACGGTATATTGCAGTGGCGGATCTAGACGGTTGTAGTGTTTCAACCCCCTTGTTTAGCCACTGAATAATGTTATCAGGAGGGACGAATAATATATTATTAATAGATTATATATTAATATAGATAATCTATTATTATTATTCACTTCTGATGTTATGATACTAGTCAAATGGTGCCACCCTAGCACCGCCTGCCTTCGGCATGCCTTCACTCAAATACCCCCCCCCCCCCCCCGTCTCCTGAAAGCTAGATCCGGCCATGCATTGTGTGTGTGTGTGTGTGTGTGTGTGTGTGTGTGTGTGTGTGTGTGTGTGTGTGTGTGTGTGTGTGTGTGTGTGTGTGTGTGTGTGTGTGTGTGCGTGTGTGTGTTTGTGGGATATGATGCTACAATCTACATGCATTGCTATCACGGTTTTACTCGCCGCTAATAACAAACAACAAGTTGGATGAATAATTAACTGGAGTTTTAAACACTGATAAAATATAAGTGAGTAGGCATAGGCGTGTAACACTTCTACCCACTGATTTTATAGAATACTGGTCATCCGATTTTACCAGGCGATGCGCTATACTCAGCTGCGTTTTCAGTTATTCTCTCTGATCTAACGCGATCTTTCATGAAAGTTTTAGTTCTATCCCAGCGTCCATCGCTTTCAATTACAGCTTCAGCGAAATGCTTGTCCGATAATGCCGATATGCACGCTGCACGTAGTGCTAGAGCTATACGAATGTATGGTGTGCCCGAGTCTTGGAATTAGATTCGTGAGATTTCTTTCCACGTACCTACACAGCAAGGCCGCTTGCGCTTACACCGAGGTGTGTTGTAGTTATGCCGCAACGGATATGCAACAGCCACTGTGAGGTAAAACTATTGTGATATATTTTGGAAAATGTCAAACCATAGTGCTAAAAATAGGCTATTTATATATTATTGGAGATAAGAAGTTTCTTTGCCTATGATATTCGTGCATACATTCGAGCTGAGCGCATAAATGGGCATTGCATCTGCTAAACGTGCACAGGCATGAAATCTGAAAGATAAGGATAGCACCTTGAAAAGGTTTCAGTGTTACCATGGCAATAAGATGTTGTGTCACCATATACATTCGCTGGGAGGTAAACTCGGTTGGTCAGTGTACACGGGGGAGACGTGAGGCCGGGGGGGGGGACGCTGTGATATGTGCAAATATTACCCAGCCTGCTACACTCATTGACGTACGCGTCGTCTGTGTGTGCGCTGAATTGTCAGCAACTGCAGCTGAGCAGACGGATTAGACAAACTGAGAGCAGCGTGTGATTCCGATCCATATATATATATATATTGTAATTATAGCGCTCACGATCGCCGCTAGCGCGCTCTGCTGCTGGGGTGAGAATGTAAAGGTCACGTTCTAACGGTTCTATGTCAAGGACGCTTATTCTAGGTCAAGCTTTAAAGGTCAAGGACGCAAATTCAAGTTTAAAAATGCAGTTTCTGTTATTCTTCGTAATGCCGTTCCCCAAACGGGTGTTTTTTTATTTTACAGCTATACCCTGGTTTGATCTCACTTTATTGAAATCAGCACGCAATGCAATTTCTGCTATTATAGAAGGAATATAGCTTTCTATACTGACAATTTGTCGCGCAACAGTAAAATATTGATTGGTCTTCTTGCAATAATTAAAGGACAGGAATTCGCTCCCTTTTAAAAGCCAACCTAATCCTTAAATTTAAATTGTCATAATTTCACACGTCCATCGCTGTACACATTGATTGGCGGTTACAGTTGTATAGCTAATTTAATTGTTTATGTATAATATATTATAAACTAACGTATTAATTGTCTCGCATATATTTATTGGTGGAAATGATAAGTAGTTTCTATAATTGATGCTGCTAGTGAGACTAACCCAAACGTTCGTATATTTACCTGCGTTGCTTTTATTAAACTCTAAACTGGCAGGTGTCAAGGCAACGTGAAAGCGTATGTGATTACTTCCAGTCCTTTATAAATAGCCGCTATCGCATCGGCTCCCTATTGGCAGTATTATTGGGTTGTTGAACATTTCATTATGACGTGATGTAATTCGATCCCCTGTAGAACATTAAGGCTGATTTATACTGTAATATAGTTTCGTGCGATAGCTCTAGATGCGTCGTTTTAGGCTGGTTCGCTCACGGTAAGAGCTACAATACAATATATTGCGTAAACAATAAAGACGGACATTTCTCTTTACCCCGTCGGTCCATCTCCCCTAAATTACCTGAAGGACTTTGATGCTTTCTCTCGCATTGTGCTCGCCTAATTGAGCAATAGACTTCTGTTGATGATTTTGTCTTTTGCGTCGCCTGTGTGAATTTCTTATTTCCTTTTCCGCCTTGTCGTGTGTCGGAGCTCGTTCACAGCTTCCCACGATTACCCAGGCTTGGAAGGGATTGCGGACACTGTGCGTACAAGTAGTAGTAATTGTGAGCCGTAATCAAACGAACTCGACTGTAGTTACACAAGACAGATGTGCCGCACTCGTTTGCGGGTGAGTTTTTCAAAGGTGTGTAATTGCTAGCGAGTGTTGGAGTCGCTGAGTCGTCTGAATGCACGCGAGAAAGCCGCACGCGCTTGGTGAACACGCGTGATCGAAGTGAATTCAGGCTTCGCTTGCCGTAGAATGGTGGTTAGCTCATAATTGGCATCTCGAAAACTCATCCTTTTAACAAGTTTACGTCTGTGCACGAGAGATTTGTAGGCCAGATCAGTCTAGGAAGCCACAAAAAGAATATCGCAGACATATAGTGAAGTAATTCATCTCAGGTTATACGAACAAACTCTGGGTGATTGGAGGCCTTGTATTTCAGCGTGGCTCACAGAAGGCTACTTGCTATGAGTTATTCATGTCGACGTTTTCTTCTACATAGCCCTTCGCGCATGCACAATTCTATGGCCAACCTAGCTATGATCCCATCCAACCAATCGTTCGTGCTTCTCAGACGAAATTTAGGACGTCTTTTTGAATATAGATCATCAGCAAGTTCTTGCGCGCGCGCGTGCGTGCGAGAGAGAGAGAGAGAAGTCGTGGCAATTCGATGAGGAATGTAATGTGGCCATGCAGCGCCCCGCCGCCGCTACGTGACGAAATGCATTGGCAAGCTGTTGGCGATCACTGCTTGCACGTTGATGACTCCAATTTGCAGGCCCATCTGAACACCCTAAATTGACGCAGAATGGACCTTAAATCCTCCATCTACTCCTTTATGTGGCTTAATTCGCTTACTTGTATGTTGCACCCGTGTAGCAGAGACCTCCGTCTGTGACAGCCGACAGAAGTAAGGCTTGCGGGTCATCTGAAGAAAACTACTGCTGTTGCTGCCCCGCACAGCTTGTACTCTATTACATGTAATATCATCTTCTACTAGATTCTTGTGTAACGGGTCGAGCTGGATTTATTTGGTGGAGGAAGGAACGTTTATAACTTATGATGCTTGGCATAATTGCACTAACCAATATATTTGTCGGTGTAGCTTTGTCGATAATGTCGTCAAATTTGTTGATGTTGTCACATATATTTCAACACGGGTTATCTGATGTCAATGATGGGTTCCAGTATCGTGTGTACTTGCATACGTATAAATTGCGTGAGACCCGCTCAAGGAATGTAACTACATATTATCAGGGTGACTTAATGATATCAAAATTTGTTTTTGATTCACTCCTGATATTATCTAGATAAATACGTCGCAGTACTATTTACACTTTAGTCCAAGATATGACGTTTTATTTTAACAGACATTATAGACTCGAATAAGTACCAAGGTGCTTCCAAATGCTGATGTAAATATAGAGTGACATCGGTACGTGAGATAAGATGAGATGAGATGAGAGGAGAGGAGACGATAGAGAGAGAGAGAGCGCGCGCGCGCGCGAGAGAGAGAGAGAGAGAGAGAGAGAGAGAGAGAGAGAGAGAGAGAGAGAGAGAGAGAGAGAGAGAGAGAGAGAGAGAGAGAGAGAGGGATACAGAGACAGAGCAAGCTAACCGGGCAAGAGTGCATTTGTTATAATGGATTTTTTTTATTTCCTATATGTTGACAGCTCCACCGAGGTTCACCTACTGGCCGCACTCCCCGCAGTACTACAATCCTGGCGACACCGCAGTCCTGTGGTGCAACGCGACGGGCGAACCCAGTCCTAACATACTTTGGAGAAAGGTGAGAATCATGCAGTAGACAATCTGAAGTAGTACACTTCGTGAATACAGTCGGTCGCAATAACAGGCAGGTGGGACGGTATACGTCATGTTTGGTCGTCGTCTATGACGTTGTTAGTTCTTATACGTATTGTCGTCTTAATGTTCGTGAGTATATGCTTTAATACAATTTTTATATTTTTATTTTAGTTGTTATATGTCGTTATACTATCAAGAGCGCACAAACTATGTAGGCCTACAGTTTACGTGTTCTTGATAGTATACAGTTTATTGATGAAATTAATATACTTGATAATCGTGTGTATACCAGCCAACTGAAATATGATTATAGACTTTATAGCTAAAGGTTTAGGAATTCCATAGATTTGCAGTAAACGTTACACAAATTTGACATTCCATACTCTAGAAGAATGAGCCTTTTTACACAATATAGCAGCCCTATACGTTCCTGCAATTATCAATATAGACATTGTCCAATGTGTACGTTGTTCAGCTTCATGTTTGATCTGCATTCATCTGGAATGCGACCCAATAGTGCATTCAAAAATATTTGGTGTGTTCTTAGTGCTAGTTCTAGTAAATAGAATTAAATTTGTTATTATTCGTTCCTGCTATATTTATCCGTACCTCCCTACAATTCGACTAGTGGAAAACTTATATTTGTCTGCAAAGGTACTACCGCAATACAGTCTTCAATGGCACTCTCTGTCTATTATTCCACAGAAATGACAAAGAGGCCAACAATTTACCTGTTTGTTAAGTACAATTAGAAGCACGGTCGATTGCGGTTATTCGGATGATGTTTTATAACCATGAAATTATGGGCATTTATATATACACACACATTATCTGCTTGATAATGTCCCATAACATTTGGCACGAAATTGGAGACAGACTCTCTAGACAAGAATGCGTGTAATGCACGATAGCATAATTGATTATATTTAATTTTATTTTGAAATTAAATTTAAAGGTCGTTGGAACAATCCAAGAGGACAGTTTCGTAGCGGTCGTGCATAATTATTCTGCCACAGTGTACAGTATTAAAATGTTGCTAATATGTTCCGTGTAATTTAACTCTCTGGATAATTCTATTTGATCATTTGGAACCCAAAGCTCAGCGATTGATGATAAAAAGATGAAGGGCATAATTGTTTAAAGCGGAAAATCTAATTTCAGTCTGTTTCGCTTTGCTGTTGAGATTTTTGTGAAATTCTGCTAATTATAATGCAGTGTTTTTATATCAAGCTGAGTGGGAAATTGATACATTCTATACATGACTTCTCGATGCTTAAACGTTTCACTAGGTAAAGCAATTAACTTGTTCACTAGGATTTCCCCCATATGCTCTTCTAGCAAACTGCGATGTTGAAGGCAGAGTTGAATCTGCCCTAAATTTGTCCTCGCTTCTTACTTTGGCATCAATATTGTACATTGCAACTGCATGTGACACAATTTGCATATTTCGCAAAACGCCATAATCGTCTTTGCTAGAGAGTAGTGTTCCTGAATAGCCTAATGGTTCGTGTAATTTGCTGAGCGTGAAAATATTCGTCTTCGATTATATTTTACATTAGAAATAAAGCATAGGTTTTGCTAAAGAACAGCCACTGCACACGCATTCCGTTGCTCGTTTCAGTATGGTATAGTATGGAGTAAATGCATAGTAATCTCACCATACGTGTTGTTGACCTCCATATTTTTTTACGAGGAAATATTTCATGGTTTTCTAATCGACAATCTTTGTTCTTTCACAAAATGTGCGTTGCTATGGAAAGTAGTAAACCCCGTTTACGTGGCTTGAGTGACCTGCTGGTAGTGTTGAAATAACTGCTGTTTCTGCGTATATACGGTACGCGTACGCGTAAAAGTAAATTAATGCGAATATATTCCGAAAATGCGGAAAAAGCATATTACGAAACAGGAATGTCAGTTGTTGCAATGTAAGTAGGTATTGTAAATGATAGATATAGAATACATGTTACGAGAGCATTCTTGTGGTTTACCTATAGTGTATTGCGTTTTATATCAAATAAAAAAACTCGTAAATCAAGATATCAAAGGACTATGGCAAAAAAGATATATTTGATATTTATATTAAATATTTACATATGTGGTAATGTGGAATTCATGTCGATTTAGCGAGTGTAATTATGATAATTTGCATGAAATCGAGATTAACCGCGGTAGTTCTCGTCCTCTTGCAGAATGGCATCTACATGAGGAACGGTACTCAGACGCGCGTGTACAACAACATCCTCCGGATCCCGCATATAGATGGCAGCACCAAAGGCGTCTACGAGTGCGTGGCCCGCAGTGCTGAGGGCGAATCTACTCGCGTTGTGCAGGTGGTCGTGGCAGGTAATTCACGTCTAAACGGACCGCGGCCAAACTATGGCGGTGCTGTTGCGGATTGCACAAATCAGCGATAATGTTGCAGTTATGCTGGCTGATACATATATTGCCAGGCTGCCAGCGTGGAGACTGCAAGTTCATGTTGTCATTTTTAAGAATGCACCTTCTCAAGGTCAATCAAAATTTAAATCGATATATCTATTTACAGGATATTTTCCTATCAAAGAAAAAGCTTGGCCAATTTTCATTACTGTGGTACTTGAACAGCTTTTACACTACCGGTGAAATGGTTTTACATTGGGACATTAATTGCTTAGCCCTTAAGTAGTTTGCATATATATGTATATATATATATATATATATAATATATATATATATATATATATATATATATTATTTAG